GTATTTCCTCTGGAACCAGCACATCTGTGAAGGTTGAACACAGCTTGGTTGGGTTCACACAGAGCTTGGCTGCAGCAGTCTTTTAACTTTCTTTCCCATTTCCACCTGTGGCTACTGGATTTTTGGTTAGTCCCAGTACACATACACTTATTTTACAAGGTCTGACACTTCTAATGCTTGTTACAGCTGATTGATCTCTTACAACCATCCCGCCATCCAGTGTAGTTTACAGCAATCCTTTGCTATCTCAAGAATACGTGAAGACATACAGAGCTATTCTCAAAATCAGTCAGTATGCCTTGCCTCTAATGTTTGAAAGCCTTCCTGTGCTTTAGACTGTCCAGAAGAATGGAGAAGCCATTCGAAAATACAGCATCATTAATGAGTATGGGCCCGGGGAGGAACAGCTGGTCAAAATTGCTGGAGCTTGGTGAGCTTATGAAAGGTGATAGGAAAAACTGCCTGAAAGTGGAATCAGTGGGTCAACAAATCCCTTCCGATCCTTATGCCAGCAAGGATTACTTTAGCTCTAAGTACTGGCACTGCAATGAGGAGTTCTTTAGTGTTAAATTAAAGAGCCCAAGCCCTGGTGCACTGGGATACTGTGTGATCTCTCTGCCCAGTTGGTTCTAAGCTGGGAGCTTGTTCTATTTGCAAGCCCGGATTGCCTCGGACCGGTGATTCCACACCTGAGAAAGAGAGAAAGAAAATGATATTACTTGTCTAACGCAGCCAGGGAGACACCTTGTTTGTCTCCACCAAAGTGTGCAAGACACTAACTTGTACCGTGTTCACCAAAAGGCTGAGATAGTGGGTGCCATCTCCTCCTGCTCATTTGAGTAAGTTCAGAATCTGAAAGGTGAGCTCACCAGTTCAACGTACTTGGTATTTTTTAAATCTGGGTATTCAGCTGCATTGATCTGAGTTTGTACTGAGAGAAAAAACATATATATGACAGCTGAGAAACTGAATAGTATGATTACCCCCAGCTTATGTAGTATTGAAATATGGACCAAAATTTTTATAGTAGTGCCAAAAGGGCTGAAGTTTTATTTTCTGTATGGAATGTATATTTCAAAGCATCAGTTTGTCACAATGGACAGACGCAAATAGTTTGAGGTATGTCCTAAGCCAGTGTAACTATTGCCAGAGGTCTCAGAAAAGGGCTGAATCCAGAGCAGAACAAGCAAGCACCCAGTGGTGGGTCTCTGCAGTATGATGCTGGGATAGGTGCGGGAACGGACCGGTTCTTTCTGGGATACAAAATGTATTCCTTTTAAGTTTGTCCTTCTGCTTAAAGTCTCTCATCTTAGAGTTAGTTGGGGTGGGGGGTAAAGTCACTGTAACGAACTAGCGTATTATCACCATGTTTCTAACCCTGCTGTGAGTGCCGTAACAGGTACCCTTTGGTTCAGATGAAGAGTAGGATGCCATACTCGGTGGTGGATATTACTGCCATGTCTAGCAGCCCAGGTCTCTCGCGCAGTTCCAGCAGTGAGTGGGAGAGCCCAGGGCTGCAGGGATGGGTAGCCCCTGGGCTGGTGAGCAGTCTGCCTTCCAGTGGCACCGGAGAGGTTGTCCGGGCAGGAGACAAAGTGCAACCGTCAGGCCCAGGAGCCGATTCCTCTTTATGTGCTTAACTACATCTCTTTTACATGCTAGGATGAGGCTGTCCGCTTGGCTGCAGCAACCTGCAGTGATGGGAGGAAAATCGTGAGCTAAAGTAGTTGTGACAAGGGGTTGGTACAACCCAAAACCCCCTTACATTACATGTACTGCCTGGGGCACTCCTTAATGAGGGTGGCTGTGCCTGTGTTCCCGGAAGCCACTGGTGTCAAGCAGCTTGCCAGCAGCTTGCTGACTTTTTGCCCCATTCCAGCTCAGCTAAGTTGAACCCAGCCTGTGCTGAACACAGCTTCTTCAACTTGGCTTTTCAATCTACAGCCAGGGAAAAAAAAAAACCCAACAAAAAAAAAACCCAAACTGCAAAAGAATGGTGTCACAAGAACAGCTAGCCTCTTCCTTCTTCCCTAAAAAATAAGCACATAGAAAATTTTATAGGGAAGATGCAAATGAAACCATTTTTCCCCTCATACAGGCCTTGGGCATGTCCCAAAATCTCAGTCTGCAAGATACTGAAGATCTCTGTCTCCAAAATCAGGTCAACTTCTGTCTGGAAAGACATCTTGGAATAGGGATCTGATAAAAACGAGGATTTAAATGCCTGCCCAGATCAGTTGCTATGCCAAGAATTAAAGACATGATCAGAAAGATTTTTTTTATTTAACAGACAAATGTATTTACAGAAGTAACCAACTTGGACATTAGACCAACCTGTACTGGTGGTGACTCAGTCACTTGTGTTCAGCTTTACCTTGAAGTAGAATACTTCATTGGGTGACTGTTCCCTAAGCCCCAGTGACACTCAGATTTTAGTCCTGAACCTTCTCTGGGCTTCTGCAAGAGAAAAACTGGAACAGATTCTTCAGTGTTAAACTTCTCATGGTTTTAAATGAACCAGATGAAACTCTTTCCATGTTTTACAACAGTCTCTGGTAATTTCCATTATTTATGAAGACATTTCCCTGAAAACTTTCTCTCCAGGGATAGGATGTGAAATACCCACTTAAACAATAGAGAAAAGGGACTTTCTAAACAAAATAATGAAACTGGCAATATACCAAGAACTCTACATTAACACAGCTGAACCAAAAATACGTCTGAAGTGCTTAAAAAAATACATCTTAAGTGCTTTAAAGGTCTGTTACTGTGTTGTTATGATGTAGGTAACATTCAGGGGGGGATCTTATTTTTTCCTTTTTTTTTTTTCACTGGGCGCTCTTTATTGTAAAATGCCATATTCACATATGGTTTTCCTAATTAATAATCTCGAGGCATTTTTCCACAATTTGTCTTTTCTTCAAGCAATTCTGTTGTTGTTTTTTTTTTTTTAATCTTTAAAAGATGCAGAATATATTTGTCTTGTTTTGAGACAATGAAGATAAACTCATTTTTTCCATTTGAAAAAGGTGCACCGTTCCAGCAGGCTTCATAAATCCAGACATCTTTACCAGAAGATATCTCCAGCCAAGCAACAGCAGAAGCAAAATGATAACAAACTGTTAGTAACTGTTCTATTTACACAACAGTTGTGGTCATCCTGTCCTCCCCTCGGTGACTTCAGTGAAGAGTGAGTCTGAAAGTACCAATTCAATGCTGATACAAGTTACAGGTCAAGTTGAACTCTGGTTTATATTTTATATTTGGGAAAACTAAATTAAATACAAAATATTAAAGCAATTTTGTATTTGCAGCAAAAGTACCATCCCCAAACCACCCCTTTCCTCAATGAGCCAGTTTGGCAGATAAGTAGGTACCTACTCAAAGATCCCAGTATGACAGGGAGCAGTTTTAGTTTCAAAAGTTACCACTTTAAGTTCCTCATTCTGCACAGCTTTTTATGCACGTGCTTACTCATGTGAGCCTTACCACGGGTTTCTAAAGAAAAGAATTATCTTGTTCAGCAGATTACACCTCACTATTAGAAATGATTTTTAAAAAAAAATCGCTAAAGTTATTAGGATGACTCATTTTTTAAGGCAGATTTATGCTTAATAATTTAGGCAGTTTGGCCCCCAATTAGTAAAAGCTTTGCAGGATTGAGCCGCAGTTACGGAAAGCGTAAGTCATGTGAGGTTCTTGCCAGATAAGGGTTGGTGTATTTTGTCTGGCCCGAGCCTGCCTTTGCTTAGCACGGTTAGGGGCAAGCAGCATTTGTTCAGGTAGTAAATGAGACAACAAGACGCGCTTGTGCTTTTTGAGCCGAAAATACGTAAATAATGTTAAATTTTGAACTTAGAAGTGGATGGGTGTAACAGCAAATGTGTGTGATCTGTCCGAACTGTAATACGGAAATGCTGTTTAACCTGTGGAATAAATAGCCCATGATGTTCATAAAACTATTCTATCATCTGATGAACCTAAAATGAAAGGGATGTGGCAAGCATCAAGTCTGCTAGCTGGGATAACATGTTCAGAAAACAAGAAATGTTGCAGACTGCAAACCCACAAAAGAAGTTTTGACAACAGAACTTGCAAAAATTTGCTGTGTTGCAAAAGTGGGAAACCCCAATTCAGCATTTGATAGAAATATAATCTAATAATATATACAACTTCAAAGAGAAACAATTAAACAAAAGATTTTGCAGGAAGAGAGAAAGAAAAAGGTCAGAATTTATCACTAAAATGTGAAGTATGAAAACGGATGTAAACATATTGTTCAGAACACTCTTACTAGAAATAGTGTTACAGAAGGTATGAAAACGGATGTAAACGTATTGTTCAGAACACTCACTCTTACTAGAAATAGTGTTACAGAAAACACCCCCAGCCAAATCGTAGCAGATATATATGTATTTTTAGAGGAAGCTCAGAAAGCCCTTGTAAAAGTGTAGAGATTAAAATAATGAGACCATCTGTATAGACTACTGGTATGTTCAGAAATGGAAGCTGGAAGAAGAGTAGAGTTATGATAACTTCTACCACCCCGTGGTAGAGAAGGAGATCCTTCCAACTCCTTTCGGCTAGAAAGGGAATGGTCAGATTCTGCCCCATGCTACATATGAGGGAGGCCCAGAACAAGGACCCGTGAGTCTATCCACTGGAGCCTGTGGAGTCACTGCAGACCTCTCCGCTGGGATCTAAATCAGAATTTGGCAGTAAAACAAGAGTTTCTGATGACACAGCAAAACTCAACTTCCTTGGGCTTTTTTTTTTTTAAGCTGTTTTCACAACCCCCCCCCCCCAAAAAAAAAAAAAAAAAAAGTGAAGCGATCAATAATTCATTAGAGGATGGCAAAACATGAGTGAGAAAAAGAGCAAGGGCATAAAACTTTATGAGCAGGGACGTTTTTGCTGACGGTACAGGTAGAGAGATACGTAAGGTTAAGTACGCTGGTGACAGATAAGAGCGCCCACACGGCCCAAGGTGAGAGGCCGCGATGAGAGCGGGGCAGGAGGAGAGAGCCCCCGGTGTCCGTGCGGCTGCGGAAACACAAAGAGCGGGAGCAGAGGGGGCCGGGGAAGGGCAGGACCGGGTGTCACCGCCTCCTGCGGCGGGGTGTCACCGCAGTGCCCCGGCACCGGGCAGGGGGGGCTCCTCCGCAACGCCCTGCTGCTGAAGTGCCGTACCCGCGATCCAAACTGGCAACAAACAGCAC